TATTCACCACGACCAAGTAGGCTTCATCCCAGGAATGCAGGGGTGGTTCAACATATGAAAATCAATAAACGTAATAAACCAAATTAGCAGAAACAAAGACAAAAACCACTTGATCATCTCAATAGATGCAGAAAAAGCCTTTGATAAGATCCAACATCATTTCATGATAAAAGCTCTAAGAAAACTAGGAATAGAAGGAAAGTACCTCAACATTATAAAAGCTATATATGACAAACCTACAGACAGCATTATATTTAATGGAGAAAAACTGAAACCATTCCCTCTAAAATCAGGAACCAGACAAGGATGCCCACTATCTCCACTCCTATTCAACATAGTACTGGAATTCCTAGCCAGAGCAATTAGGTAAGAAGAAGGAATAAAAGGAATACAAATAGGTAAAGAAACTGTCAAAATATCCCTATTTGCAGATGACATGATCCTATACCTTAAAGACCCAAAAAACTACTCAGAAGCTTCTAGACATCATCAATAGCTATATCAAGGTAGCAGGATATAAAATCAACATAGAAAAATCATTAGCATTTCTATACACCAACAATGAGCAAACTGAAAAAGAATGTATGAAAACAATTCCATTTACAATAGCCTCAAACAAAATCAAATACCTAGATGTAAACCTAACAAAAGATGTGAATGACCTCTACAAGGAAAACTATAAACTTCTGAAGAAAGAGATTGAGAAAGACTACAGAAAGTGGAGAGATCTCCCATGCTCATGGATTGGTAGAATCAACATAAAAAATGTCGATACTCCCAAAAGTAATCTACATGTTTAATGCAATTCCCATCAAAATTCCAATGACATTCATTAAAGAGATCGAAAAGTCTACCGTTAAATTTATACGGAAACACAAGAGGCCACAAATAGCCAAGGCAATACTCAGTCAAAAGAACAATGCTGGAGGTATCACGATACCCGACTTCAAACTATATTACAAAGCACTAACAATAAAAACAGCATGGTACTGGCACAAAAACAGACATGAAGACCAGTGGAACAGAATAGAGGGCCCAGATATGAAGCCACACAACTATAAGCAACTTGTATTTGACAAAGGAGCTAAAAATATACAATGGAGAAATAGCAGCTACTTCAACAAAAATTGCTGGGAGAACTGGTTAGCAGTCTGCAAAAACTGAAACTAGACCCATGTATATCACCCTACACCAAGATTAACTCAAAATGGATCAAGGATCTTAATATCAGACCCCAAACTCTAAAGTTGATACAGGAAAGAGTAGGAAATACTCTGGAGTTAGTAGGTATAGGTAAGAACTTTCTCAATGAAACTCCAGCAGCACAGCAACTAAGAGATAGCATAGATAAATGGGACCACATAAAACTAAAAAGCTTCTGTTCATCAAAAGAAATGGTCTCTAAACTGAAGAGAACACCCACAGAGTGGGAGAAAATATTTGCCAGCTACACATCAGACAAAGGACTGATAACCAGAATATATAAGGAACTTAAAAAACTAAATTCTCCCAAAACTAATGAACCAATAAAGAAATGGGCAAGTGAACTAAACAGAACTTTCTCAAAAGAAGAAATTCAAATGGCCAAAAAACACATGAAAAAATGCTCACCATCTCTAGCAATAAAGGAAATGCAAATTAAAACCACACTAAGATTCCACCTCACCCCTGTTAGAATAGCCATCATTAGCAACACCACCACCAACAGGTGTTGGCGAGGATGTGGGGAAAAAGGAACCCTCTTACACTGTTGGTGGGAATGTAAACTAGTACAACCACTCTGGAAAAAAATTTAAGGCTACTTAAAAAGCTAAACATTGATCTACCATATGATCCAGCAATACCACTCTTGGGGATATACCCAAAAGACTGTGACACAGGTTACTCCAGAGGCACCTGCACACCCATGTTTATTGCGGCACTATTCACAGTAGCCAAGTTATGGAAACAGCCAAGATGCCCCATTACTGACGAATGGATCAAGAAAATGTGGTATCTATACACAATGGAATTTTATGCAGCCATGAAGAAGAACAAAATGTTATCATTCACTGGTAAATGGATGGAATTGGAGAACATCATTCTGAGTGAGGTTAGCCTGGCCCAAAAGACCAAAAATCGTATGTTCTCCCTCATATGTGGACATTAGCTCAAGGGCAAACACAACAAGGGGACTGGACTTTGAGCACATTGTAAAAGCGAGAGCATACAAGGGAGGGGTGAGGATAGGTAAGACACCTAAAAAATTAGCTAGCATTTGTTGCCCTCAGCGCAGAGAAACTAAAGCAGATACCTTAAAAGCAACTGAGGCCAATAGGAAAAGGGGACCAGGAACTAGAGAAAAGGGTAGATCAAAAAGAACCTAGAAGGTAACACACATGCACAGGAAATTAATGTGAGTCAACTCCCTGTATAGCTATCCTTATCTCAACTAGCAAAAACCCTTGTTCCTTCCTATTATTGCTTATACTCTCTCTTCAACAAAATTAGAGATAAGGGCAAAATAGTTTCTGCTGGGTATTGAGGGGGTGGGGGGGAAGGGAGGGGGCAGAGTGGGTGGTAAGGGAGGGGGTGGGGGCAGGGGGGGAGAAATGACCCAAGCATTGTATGCACATATGAATAATAAAACAATAAAAAAATTTCAGTTTTTGCTTAATAAATATTATCAAGGGGAAAGTGACAGTGTTAAGTATATGAATTATTAACTTAAAATGAGTATATGTTTTTGCATGATTTATTTAACATTGCCAGGAACAAAAGCACTCGTAAACACTTTAAAAAATTCTTGAAAAACTTAACATTTCCCCCTCTTTTGGCATAACCACCATGTCCCTTATTATGCTAGAATTATTTTTTGGGGGGCAGTACTGGGGTTTGAACTCAGGGCCTACACCTATAACCTTGAGCCACTCCACCAGCCCTTTTTTGTGATGCGTTTTTTTGAGATAGGGTCTTGTGAACTATTTGCCTGGGTTGGCTTCAAACCTCAATCCTCCTGATCTCTTCCTCCTGAGTAGCTAGGATTACAGGTGTGAGTTACCTGTGCCTGGCCCTGCTGCACAATCTTGACCCATAGCCCTTGAGAGTCCTGTGGTGGGGGTAATTATAATATCAAGGAGACAATTTGGCATACTACATTGATGTTCAGAGTAGACCTTTTCTTTGTTTACTTTTATTTTTTGGAGAGCACACTTTTTGGACAATGTTAAAACATTGTCTTAGATGCACTAAAAACCGTGGACTAGGAAAAAAGCATACATTCATGCTGGGAAGCAAATGATTCCGTAATTAATGTAATTCATGTAGATGATCTCTCAAAGCTCACCAGGCTTTTCACCTCAGAGTGTAGGCAATCGTTTTTCATTCACTGAATATGGAGGAACTCTTTTCTTTTTCTTTCTTTTTTTTTTTTTAACCAATTCTGTCGTTTTCATTTTTCTAGAAAAGTAGGCTGAGGGGCAATCTGCTTTCAAATTTTAAAGTCCTCTGGGTAGTAAAGAAAAAAAACGGTAGCATTTCCCCAGGTGGACAGCTTTCCAGGCTGTCCTGAATTTACAGCTGAATTAAGCCAGACTGTAAAAGGGTGAAAGATTTTTTCAGGGTCATAAAATCGGCAAGGACACCTTTAAAAACATATGGTTGCTAAGATGGGCACCTGTGGCTCGGGTCTGTAATCCTAGCTACTCAGAAGGCAGAGATCAGGTTTGAAGCCAGCCCCAGCAAATAGTTTGGGAGACCTTATTTCGAAAATACCCAATACAAAAAAAGGGCTGGCAGAGTGATTCAAGTGGCAGAGCACTTGCCAGCAAGTATGAGGCCCTGAGTTCAAGCCCCAGTACTGCCAAAAACCAACCAAACAAAATCTAACATATTCTAAGTCTGACACCTTTAGGATTTGTCCAGCATACTTTCTCCTCACTCTGGTTTGTTTGAGTTCAGTACCTACTCTGCATCCCACACTGACAAGCACGGGACATAGAAGAAAATGCAGTCCCTATGCAGAAAGTTTCTGTATGTGATCAACACCCTTCCTTCACACAAATCTTTACAGTTCTCTTCACCTCCATCCACCTTCTCCAATTATTACATGAATGGTTTCTCTTGGAACCTACCTGCTCCGATACCATAACCCTGGGGCAAGTTAGCGTTCTAATATTAGGATCTCGATTTTCTTATCCTTTTCTACAGACAGGAATAAACCCTATGTTTTTTCCTTTTCTCCATCTCACTCATTCTCTTAGGTGACATAAGTATATAAGAAGTCTGGTACCAAAGTTGATGAAGGTCTAATTATTTGTCACCTATAACCCAGGAAGCCAGTGTACACGCTAACTTCGGAGGAGTAAACAGGAAACTATCGATCCCATGCAGGAAATGACCTTGTATAACTGCAAGGAAGGTGCCGCGGGATTTCCCTCATTTCCCTTCTTAACTCATTTCCGGGTTTCAATCAATTTGGTCCTTCCCTACAATAACAGAGTCCGGCTCTCTCTTTCCAGTCCCACCTTAGACTTCGTCCCTCAAAGAACGGCCAATGGGCCTTTCCCTTTAGCGGACATTTTTATGCCTTGTTTTGCATCACTGCAAATCTCAACCAATCAGCAGTTAGAGTAGGCGGTACCCAAATAATCTTCACTTCCTCCCTAAATAACCACCCTTCGCCTGCGTCAGCTTGTGATAGACTACTCACGTAGCCAATCAACGAGCAGCACTGGGCCCAGCCCATCTCAAACCCAACCAATTAAAACGAAGATGAGGACCTGTGGGGCGGAGAACGGAAAACTTGCCCCCTCTTTTGGAAATGGAGAGGTGCGTCCCGAACCAGCCAAGTGACAACTTTCTACTAACAATCGCTGCGTTCCATGTCGTTTATCTCACATGCCCAGTTTTGTCCCCTTCAGCCCCACCCCAAGATGGGCTCCACGACTCACATACCACCCCGCCCGCGTTTCTGTAGCACACTTTCCCATCCCTGAAATCCTCCGGAAAAACCCCCAATCCTAATGGTCAGGGACGTCACATGCGGCTCCCGAGGCCGCAGAGATCCCGCAGCGGCTGGCGCCAATCTTTCCATTCAGTGCGTCTCTCCTCCCTCCTCCACGTTCCCGGCCCGGGCTGACACGGGGGTGGGAGGAGCCCAGCTGCTGGTTTGGGGAGAGGCTGAGTCCTCTTAAGGTGGAACTGGGCTGCTGGGCCTCCCAGCCCATTCCCACAGGGCTCCTCATCTCCAGATTCCGAACCTTGGTTCTAGTCTTATCTTTAGGGGATTAATCAGGTTGGGTAGAGGATATAACATGAATGTAGCAAACTTAAACAAGTACAAACTAGGCAGAAATTTTCCTTCATGATTTAATAGCTTCTGTTATCTTCTTCTCACCAAGATTATCTTTTTGTAAAGTGGCAATTATAATTTTTATTCTGATGCATAAATACGAGCTCAAGTTTTGTTTGATCATTGTATGCAAAGGAAGCAAGAGCCTGGTGTCCGGGTGTCCAGTGGATGCAGGCTCCCTCTCTACTCCCTTCACCAAGGGTCCCCAGGAAGCTTGAGGAATGGGGATGGTACACTGCAGGTCCTTTGTGGTCAGGGCTCTGGTTCAATCTTTTCATTTGTAATGTTGAGTGTGGGTACTAAAAAACATAAATAAAAACACACTGTACTCTGAAAGGCACAAACAATAGGTAATATGCATACAAATCACACAATAATAAATTTTTTCTATATTCATTTTAAACAGTATTTTAAAAAAACTTATAAAACTTCAAGTACACACAGAAGTAGACAGAATAGTATTTTTAAACATGTAACAGGTAGCGTTTGGCCAATCTTTAATCATCTATACTTTTCTCCTCCATCACTTGATTATTTTGAATCAAATTTCAAGTCTAAGTACTCCTGTGTACATGAAAAAAAAAGATTCTTAAAAAAACAGCAAAATCTCATTAATATATCTAAAACAAAAAAATTTCAAAAAAACAGCAAAATCTCATTAATATATCTAAAACAAAAGAATTTCTTTTTTCAGCGGTACTGGGGTTTGAACTTAGGGCCTCACACTTGCTATGTGGTGCACTTACCACTTGAGCCACTTCACCAACACTTTGCCATGACTGATTTTTTCAAGATAGGCTCTTGTGAACTATTTGCCCATTTGTCCGGATTGGTTTTGAAACCTTGGTCCTCTAGATCTCTTCCTCCAGAGTAGCTAGGATTACAGGAGTAAGCCACTGACATCAGGCAGTTGATATACCTTTTAAACTTCCTTTAATTTCTAGGTTCACTACTCCTCTCTAAATGCAAATACATAACACAAAACCCTTCTACAATTCTATGAAATAGGTACCATCATTATCCTCATTTTTACTGATGAAGAAACTGAGTCACAAAGGAGTTATCAAAGCGGTGACTTACCTAAGTTCTCAGTTTTGTTTTGTTTTTTTTTGGCGGCACTGGAGTTTGAACTCAGGCCTCATGCTTGCTAGGCAGATGCTCTTACTGCTGGGGACACTCCATCAGCCCTTATTTTGCAATGGTTTTTTGCGAGATAGAGTTTCAAAACTACTTTGCCCTGGGGGGCTAGCTTCCAACAGTGATCCTTCTGATCTCTGCCTCCTGAGTAGCTAGGATTACAAGCCTGAGCCCAGGGGTCCAGGCAGTTCTCAGTTACTAAGTGTCAAACCCGAGTCTTGAACACATGAATTTTATGTGTTATATCATGCTTCACACAATGCACTGATCTTTTAAAAATGCTTCTAAAATGTGTACTGTGGCATATTAGTCACTAATATTATGAAGAAGAGTTGTTCAAAGTGGACTAACACTCATGAAGTGTATGTTACAAGAGTCTTACATCTTGCTTTTTTTTTTTTGCATATTTCAGTCTCTTTTTTTTTCTTTTTTGAATCTTGGTCCGTATCATCTTCTTCACTAGAAAATAAATAATGAATACAAGTGCTTTCTCATGTCTTAAGGCAAAGCCAAACTAGGTTTACCAAGTATTTTTAGAATTTAAAAATTATATAAGCAAACCCTAAATAAACATTAAACAGTAAAAGATGAAGTAAATTAAAATAACATTTAAACTGTTATTTTTGCTGTAAATCTGCATATATGTATACACACAAGTACATACTTTAAAAGCAGCTTTATGAGCTGGGCACTGGATGGTTCACACCTATAATCCCAGCTACTCATGAGGCAGAGATCAGAAGAATCACAGTTCGAACCTAGCCCCAGGCAAATAGTGAGACCCTATGTCGAAAAAACACATTGCAAAAAAGGGAGTGGCTCAAGTGCTAAGAGCGCCTGCCTGGTTAAGTGTAAGGCCCTGAATTCAAGCCCCAGTACCACCACCAAAAAAAAAAAAAAGATTGAATTAGACAAACTTTTAAACTTGATTTTTTTTTTTCTTTTTTTCTTTCCTGGAGTTTGAACTCAGGGCTTTGTGCTTGTAAAGCAGGCACTCTAACACTTGAGCTACACCTCCAGTACATTTTGCTTTGGTTATTTTGGAGATGAGGGTGTTTCTAGAAATGTTTTTCCAGCTGGCCTTGAACCTTGATCCTCCAGATGTCAGCCTCCCAAGTAGCTACAAGTACAGGTGTGAAACGCCCAGCTTAAATATGACTTTCTTGAAGACATCAAATATATATAAAAAACTCTTCACTACAATTATCATATCTATTGCAAAATATCTAAGTGATAAAGAAATAATAACAACTTACTAATTCTATTTCAGAGTAAATATAATTTGTCTTAAATGCTAAATGGTATTGTATTATATATGCATATACCATAGTTTATTTAATTTTCTCCTATGTTGGATATTTACGTTTTTTCTAATTTCCCAGGTACAAATAATGCTGCAATAAATATCTTGTACATATCAAATAATTTCTTGAGCTTTCTATTTCTCAAAATTTCCAGGAAAGGGAATTCTAATTTTTTCCTAGCTTTTCCACTTTTTAAAATTACTTCTTGCTCTCATCCCTGCTCTCTAAATTCCACACACAGCAAATGTAAGAAAGCATTGAAAAAATAAACAAAACATTCACCACATTGCCAGAAAGCTTGCTGTTAAATTACTGTTTGTGGAAGAATTAATGCCTCCAAGGTTGGGGTTGCGGGGGTAAACACAGCTTTATATTGGATATTAGAAGTGTGGGGAGGAACAAAGGGCTTAGTTGGGTTTCACTGGCTTTACTTTTAAGGATGACTTTTATTTTTCACAGTTCAGGACAATGACATAGAGGTTAAGAGCCAGGTTCTGGGGACATTTGGGTTAGAGTTAATACCTGACTTCATGTAATAATACGAATTATGTAAACTAAGTGAACTAATTATGTGAACTCAGACACAGTCAATATCTCCAAGCACCTGTAAAAGGCCTAATAACAGGGCCTCATGAGATTGCTAGAAGGATCAAATGTGATAACGCATGTTAAGGGCTTAGCTTTAATGCCTGGGACATTATAAATATAATGCAATTATTATGTACATATCATTTAGATAAACTTTAGTAGCATGTACTGTTAGCCAGAAGACAAAAAACCTCACTATCTAAAGGTGCAAGGTAGTAATAAAGCTGTAATTTTAAGTCTGCAATCATTTTTGGGCAATTCAGATATTAAATGAACATCTTTTTGCCTTCCATAATTTTATGTGACAGAACACAGTTTGAGAAAAGTTTAATAAGCCAGCCAGAGGATAAAATAGCTAAGAATTTGCAACAGAATAGCATGACTGGAGGAGGAAAAGTGGGCTCCCCGGTGGCCTTTTCTGTCTCTGGGTGGAGATGATGCTGTAAGGGGCCGAGAGATGTGCTATGAAAACACCCTACACTTTGTGACACTTAGGGTTGTTTTATAGAATTGTCAGGTGAACCGAACAGCAGTCATAGTCTGTACTCTCTGTATACTGTACAGTTTTTAAAAAGCACTTTCACATAACATTATCTCATTCGGCCATTACAACAACTTTATTGGGTGGGCAGGCCGTATCCAGATCCCCTCTTAGCTGACCAAGATTCCAGAAACAGGGCCCTTACAGAAGTTTACAGAGCTGGAACAAGAAATAGAACCCAGATTTGATGTTGATTTCCCTGTGACAAGCTCATTTATCCTTTTGTGCATGCACTTACTCAAGGAGCATTTACGGAACTCCAGGATGGTAACAGGGTAACATTAACTTCACCCCATAACCCTTTATAACCCGTCGGCGGTGGGGAGAGAAGTCCATCAAAGACATTCCTGAGAGAACTGGGTATGCACGCCTGGACAGACTACAGTAAAATGAAAACAGGTGAGCATCGTAGAGTGAGTGTGTGAACTGGGATTGACAGCGAAGGTGTCACGAGGGACTGGGACAGGGCGGAGGGCTGTCACCCGGTGGGCAGCGCGCAGCCCGGGGCGCGGCGGCCGGGCGGTGGCTGGAGCGGAGAGCTGGCTGCGCTTCCCCGCGCGATCGGGAGGCGGCGGCGCGGCGATCCCTGTCGGGGCAGGTGGAGCGCACCCCGGGCTGCGCGGCCCGCGGCTCGGCGCCGCCCGCTCCTCCTTAACCCGCGCGGGGAGGCGGCGGCGGCGGCGGCCCGGCGGGCGGGGGAGGGGGAGGGGCGCGGAGTGCGGCGCGGAGGCCGGGGAGGAGCCGGGGCCTGCAGCGGAGCCGAGCCGAGCCCTGACACTGTCCGTCCGCCTTCTGGCTCGCCGGGAAGCCCCCCGACTGGCCGAAGCCCGAGAGGTGGCAGGCGGGGAGCTCCACGCGCGGAAGGGAGGGGACCGGACCGCGCGGGACTAGAGGAGGCGCTGCCGCCGCAGCCGCGAGTGACGGGAGTCGGGAGCCGCGGCCTCCCGGACCCTGTGCCCAGGCCAGCCGGGCGAGAGCGGGGAGTACGCGAACCCCACCCTCCCCGGCACCCCAGGAGCGGAGGCGGGAGCGGGGTCGGGGGCACCTTCTCCCGCTGTTGAAGGGAAGACCCTTTCCACTCCGGAGGGAAAGAAGAGATCGCTGTAGGGGACGCGCCTCTCCTTCCTAGACGCAAGGAAGCCCCCATCCAGGCTCTGCAGGAGACGCGCCCCCCCCCCCGAAGTAGAAAGGGGTGATCCTTCCTGAAAGAACCCGAGCGGGAACGCTCCAGCGTGCCTCCACCCCTCCAAACACACTCTAAGCACTTCAGGACTTTTGAGGCAAAGAGAAGGGGCTATCTATGGAGTAGGCACCTTCCATCTCACCCAGTACTCACGACAGCGGGGGACGTTCCAGGGAACGAAGAGGATCCCATCGGCTCTCAGCCTTCCTGGAGAGGGGAAGCCCTCTGCCTACCACTTCCGTGTGCCTAGACAGTGGAACGGGGTAGAGCCCCTCCTCCCAGACCTCCAGCAGACAGACAGAGCCCTCCGCCCCCGAAAGATCCAGTTTGGGGGGGAGGGGGACTCCCCCAAGGGGGAGGAGACAACTCCTGGTTAGGAGAGGCTCCTCCCCTCCTCCCCTGGGCAACAGGCAGGGTGTGGGGGGTGTGCCACCTTCCCCAGGTAGGACCTCCTTCTCCTCCCCCTCCTCCTGCTCCCTCGGCTCCTCATCTTCAGGAGACCCAGTTCCCCTCTCCAGCTTGGGAGGCTCAGCCAAGCACAGGAAGAGGCACTGAGGATGAGACTGGTCATCAGCCTCTGAAGAGGGGAGTCCCTCCAACCCCAAACTCCTGTACCGGGTGGTTTCCTCCCTTTGCGGGGGGAACCTCAGAGACAGGTTAGTGCTTTCTTCCATCTTCTCTTGGCACCAATTGGGGACAGGGGGCTGAACCGGTGGATCTCTCTGGGAAATGTGTTCTGAAGGAACTTCTGGGTTGGAACTGAACATCTTGCTGCTAATGGGTCTCCTAATGTTTGGGGAGTAGAGGGATGGGATTTATTTGAAATTCCTAGGGAAGTGGATGTTTCCATACTGAAGACAAAGGGATAACAGGCAACAGGTGCTGTGTAATCACAATACAACCCAATTAGATCCCATAGCACCATCTATTCTTGGGCCTTTTTACCTGAAGAATGGACTCTCTCACCCAAGTCATGGTGGCTTTCATGTCTTGGCCTTGTCTAGGACATGCCTAGGTTGCTAATGTCCGCCAGAGGTGTTCTTTCCAACCCACGGGGGATTACTGCTTCCCTGATAAGCAAGAGAAACAGTCTATTCCCACTCCTCTATCTTGGATCCCAAGAGACCTCTTCTGACATTCCCAGTCCTGTTTGGATGTATGTTTCTCCCCATAAAATCCAAAGGGGAATGTGAATTCCACGTGTCCTGAGGTGAAAAGAGGAGAGTGTGCAAGAGATGAAGTTCTTTTTAAATATTGGATGTATCCCAACCCTCACCTGCCACCTCCTATCCTTCCCTGATGGTTCCTCAGGGAAAATCAAATCCTGGATAGGAAGAGAAGAGAGTTGCTGTTTTCCCTCCTTCCAGTCTTCCATCTGAATAAGTTGACCACCAGAGAGACCTCAGAGGAGTTCATTAGAGTTTCCTTCCAGAAAAGCACCTGATAGTCTCATGCTCTCCCTTCTGTGTCTTGTTCAGTTCTGGTCCCTGAAACATTGTGTTGAAATTTTCCCTCATAAGGTAGGCAATCATCAAAGTCTAGAATCTTCAGAAAAAGCAGGGAAAAAGGTGCCAGGAAATTTTTCTGGCTGAGCCTGCACTATTTCTAATAGTGCTCTGACTTTTAACCTGAGGTCACTAGCTGGGTGCCTGCTTTCCTGCCTAGCCATTGGAGGATAGCTTATGCCCCTATCTGCTGTAAGAGGTATTATACCTTACGGCAAGGCCACGTGAGAGGCCCTTGGGCTTTCATGTTTCCTCCTCTCTCTGTGTGGGCCCAAGTCCCTAAGTATGTCCACTTGGTCCGGAAGATATGTTAGTGACAGTATATGAGACTATCCACAGGTTTGGATGGCTGTGCTGTGGAACAACGTGTGTGTTTCTTAATTCAGGTGAGTGTGACACTATTGCCATGGTGTTTTGAGTATGTGTGTGGAGTCAGGTATATATGTGCTTTTCGGACTTTACTCTGAAAATCTAGATTGTGTTTCTGGTAGGCCTGTAGGAATAGGTGACCTTCTGAACGACCTGGAGAAGGTGTGAGTGAGGATGCCCAGCTGGGAAGAAAGTTTGGTGCTCTCATGACTGACTACACTGCAGTCATCCCATGCAGCAGGGCAACCCAGTCCCAGGTTGGGACCACTTCTTGGACTTCTGAGAGAGCTCCATTGCTGATACCTTTAGTCCCAAAAGGATGAGAGGATGAGCACCCTTGACTCCTCTTTCTAGAACTGCCTTCCCTACTTTTTAAAAAGAATTCTCTGGTGTAACAGCAGTCTTGCTTACAAAGCACTTTACCAGATGCTGGAGTACAACTTCTGAATGGTTTAGGGCAAACTGTATGATAACAGCTCCAGGTACATCATTGCTATAGAGTTTAACTTGCCTGGCTTACACCACATTTCCTTAATGCTTTGACCTCTCAGGAATCAATATATGGGACTGGATTAACTGTGATTTAAAAGAGTGCTATTTTTCCAGAACATGTCTTATGACTACATCTGATTCTTCTAGAAAGATAAGAGATGGTATTTTCCCCATTCTTTCATCCTTGGAGTTAATCAGTCCTGGGGTGATATGATCTTCAGAGGAAAAGTTTGAGATTCTGACCTCATGACAACTATTGCTGACTCAGTGCAGGCTTGATACTTCCAGTCTTGCCTCTATGGTCTGTCAGTTTTCTAATTTTAATTTCTACTATTCTCTCTCTCTTTTTTTTTTCTTGGTGCTATGGATTGAACCCATGGCCTCACACACATGCTAAGCACACACTTTACCACTGAGCTGTACCCACTGCCCACTGATATTCTTTTTTCCTTAATCAAAAATAATAGCTAGACTTACTAAGTAATAGATAGCACTAAGTACTTTAAAAATACTAACTTAAGATAAGCCTCATGACAACCATTGTAGGAACAGTTATCACCTCTGTTTTACAGAGAAAGAAACTAAGGCACAGAGAGGTTAAGTGACTTGCCTGTCATTGGACAGCCAGTAGGTATTGGAACTGGGATTGGAACCCAAGAAGCCTGACTGATCATGAGGTATACTTAGCCACCGGTCTATTTGTTTCGATATTATGAACAGGGCAGGAAGTTAATCATGTTTTAGTACCTAACTTTTGGACCTTACTGAGAATTACTACTAGCCATCCAGAAAAAAATGGGAAGAAAACAGTTCCGATTATTTTGGATCTTCCGTGATTAGTCTTTCACTCCTACAGAATGTCCTTCTGTTTTTCTCTGCCTTTTCCCCAGGGCTACAGTCTTCATTAGACATCCTGTGGATGTGATGGAGCTTGTCCTTTGGCTGCCTTTCCCAGGTTCTGTGGGTATTTCCTTTCAGTCTTCCAGTGTGTAGAGAAGAATGTGGCCTGACTCAGGTTCTGCCTGAGCCCAGTGGCACAAGGCCCACCTGGAGAAGAGGTCTGGGTAACTAGGTTGGTTGGACTGAGAAATGGAACTACCTCTTGTTTGCTTTTCTATTAATAGCCCTGTACACTCGCCTCCTGCCATTATTTTGGGGAGCATGGAATGTGTGGCAGCCACAAGCTCATGAAGCTTCATTCCCTTCCCTCCAGGGATGAAGCTTTGGCAAAGTTTATGACTTTATCTCTTTTACTGAAGGGGGAAACTGAGGCATGAAGACTTCATCAGGGAGCATGGGATGGTTAGGGACACTTAGTGAGTCAGTGTCAGCACGGGGAATAGAACTAAGGAACCTCAGTCTGGGCTGCCACTCGAGAATGGGGAAGTGAAGGGGGTGAGGAAGTGGGACGGGTTAAAGGGGAGTGGGGCTGGAAGACCAGCAGGACCAGACCCTGCAAGCTTCATCTAGCTGGTAGGGTTGGAATGTGTTCTGAGTGCTGAGTGTTCTATCTGGAGGGCTGACTGGGAGGGGACTGGAGAAAGTAACTTTAACCTCAGTGTCCTGACCTGGTGCTGGGGTAAGGGTAAGGAAGGGCATAGAACATTAGTAAGGGGCTGAGAGTGTTGCTCTTTCAGGAATTTGCCATGATTGGCATGTGCCAGATGGGTTCTGTAAATCCTCTAAGCACTTTCAACTTGTCATCATGCTTTTGTTCAGTGTTGAGAATTTCAGATGAAATTTCAACTGCAGGTCTCTTTGCTCTGGAGATGAGGCTTCCTAGGGATCTTTAGCAGAAGATAATAGGGCATAGGGACCTGAGTGTGGTGGTGTGTCTTTAGTTCCAACTACTTGAAAGGCTGAGGTAGGAGGATTGCTTGAGTCCAGGAGTTTGAGGCAAGCCTGGGCAACATAACCAGACTTGAGAGAGAGAGGGAAAGAGAGAGGAGTGGGGGGAGAGAGAGAGAGAAAGAAAGAGAGAGAAACTAGGGGGTAAAACTTCTGTGCAGACCTCCTTCTAGGGAGCACTCTGTACATTGAGAACCTATTTGTTGGCATGTTACTGTTGAGTTGGGAGAACTCAGCTAATGGGCAGATATTGTCCAAACACCCTGCTATTATAGCCCACAGGCTGGGGTGTTTGGACTTAGCAAAGTGCTAGAAGGTGTGTGACTTCCTGGAATGATTAAGTGTTCCCATTGTTTTTCAAGTTTCCATGGTTTGGGGCAAGATGGTGGTGCTAGGGGATGAAAAGAAGATGAAGGAGGTGAATATGACCAAAGTATGTTATCTGCATATATGGAAATATCACAAAGAAACCTCTACATTGTACTATTAATATGCCCTAATAAAATATGGGGGAAAAAAAGAAACGGAGGAAGGTGGGGAGCTAAGGATAAAGGGGAAACCTTTCATGATGCTGTTTTCATGCCTCCCATCCACCTCCCCCCCCTTTTTTTTTGTTTTCCTATTTTGGGTCGCAGTTAGGTCTTTTGCCGCCCAGGTCCAAGGCACTACTGTGCTTCCTTCAGTCTTGTGGACTGGACATGTTGCTGGTTAGGAGCACAGGGCTGTGTACTTGTGTGTACAGGCAGATTGTGTGGGTGGGAAGTAGGGGGAAGAGGAGACTGAGTGAGAATGCAGAGTGCTAAGTGTTGACACAGAAGAATTGCAATTTAGGAAAGAGTGAGAGCCTGAAAGTTGTGTTGGGGTCAGAAGAGAGGGGGAGAGGGTCCTATCTGGGATTGAGCTTTGACTTGCACAGTGTGCAGATCTGTGTATACTTTTATGCATATGCCCATGCATCCTTCTAACTGTGGATTTAGACATCACCTCCATTACATGTTTCTGACCAGGATTCCGAACTCTGAGGTATTCTACCTCTGGCTTTTCCAGACCAATGTCCTGGTGGGACAGAGGAAGCAATGAGAGGTGGAATCTGGCAGCTGTGCAGGCACGAACCTGTTAGGCAGCAAGTGCTTAGGGGTTTGCTGGCATCGGCTCTAAGGGAGTGCCAGATGGCTACCTAGTGGTTCCAGCCAGTCTTTCTAGACCCTGCAGTACAGACAGCACCCCTGATTCTTTGCCATCCCCCCCATCAAGATGTCACTAGGTACACCTCTCTGTCGGCAAGAGCGTCCTGGCAGTGTGGTTGGCAGAAAGGCGTGCAAACATCAGGCGTGGGCGGTCTGGCAGCTCTAGGAGTTTGCATGGAGGTGCAGAGAGCCTGCGTGCCTGGAAGGAAGGAGGGAGGAGGAGGGTGGGAAGGGGAGCCAGCTCTTAGCCCCAGAGTGGCTATTTTTAGCCAGGCTATCTGATTGTTACCAGTTTGCACACAGCTGGGTGTTCCCTGGCTCTGTGAAGCCCAGCAAACTGAGAGGTGGGAGGTCCTTGCTGATGACTTCTTCCTGGTATTGGTGTCTGTGGGCGGGAGCATGCAAGGGGTAGCTTTACAGGTGCAAGGGCAGCAGTGTACTCAGGATCTGTGTCTTCTGTGTGTGACTTTGTGCTGTGTTGGTAATGTATGCTGTATATCTAATGATGATCTCTGTAGGTACTCCAGTGTTCATGTGTCATTCTTATGTTTGTCCTATGCTGGTTGTTGTATAATTTGTGCTTAGGAGATGTCAGCATGCCTCGTAAGCACATGTGTGGGACAAAAATGAATGTTCATAAGGTATCTAATGTTTTCAGATTAGATATAAAAGTGTTGATGTGTGTTTTCTTAGTAGATGTTTGTGTTTACTCAGACTGTTTTTACCTGTGTATTTGTGCTTTGTACCTATGGATGTTGGATGTAAATATACAAGTGCCACATAATTGGAGAATGGACTTTAGCTAATTTTACCTGTTAGGTGGGTTCTTCTTCTTCTTCTTCTTCTTTTGAATTATTACTGCAGAATTTTAAAATATTATGTTGTGGGGCTGTAAGTAAGGAGAATTGGTGTGAGGCTTCATCACAGGTCCTGCCTGAAGGGAGAGGCCTTTTGGCCACGCTCTACTGTAGGGTAAGTAGCAGTGAACATCTGATAGATTGGTGAAGTATGTGCTTGGGAGTTTTGGGATCACTGAATGAGAGCCATCTTAGAAGAAGATGGGGATCCCTCTGGAAGTGCTGGGGATCAAACCCATAGTATGGGAATTGTAGTGGAAGAAACTACTTACCTTCTTCCCCTTCTTGTCCTAGTAACCAGGAGTAACACTCATTTACCTTCCTTCTTGCTTTGCCCTCTTTTCTGCAGAGCCCAGAAATACCATGGCCTCTGACCTAGAGAGTAGCCTTACTTCCATAGATTGGCTCCCCCAGCTGACTCTCCGAGCTACCATTGAGAAGCTTGGGAGTGCCTCCCAGGCTGGACCTCAAGGGGGCAGCCGCAAGTGTTCCCCAGGCTCACCCACAGACCCTAATGCCACCCTGAGCAAAGATGAGGCAGCAGTCCACCAGGATGGCAAGCCACGATACAGCTACGCCACTCTCATCACCTATGCCATCAACTCCTCCCCAGCCAAGAAGATGACCCTCAGCGAGATCTACCGCTGGATCTGCGATAACTTCCCCTATTACAAGAATGCTGGCATTGGTTGGAAGGTGGGACCGCTTCTACAACCTAGATTTACTTTTAGCCTTCAACACCCTTTTTCTCTACTTTTGTTTTGTCCTGTCATCTGGTCCAGTTCACTCTAGTTGTCTCAGACATGTGTAAACTTAAAATCTCATGTCTTCTACCCTCTACTTTGTATTTATTTTTTATTTTTGAGTTGAGCACCCTTCATAAGATGTATCAGGGAAACTCCACTGAAGCCAAGCCAGTAAGTATAGTTATGAGGATGACAGGGTGCTGTTGCTCATCATATCCTCTTATCTTCTTATTCCTCAGAAAGGACACTCACAGGGCTGAGATCCAGCTTAGTAAGTCTGAGTTCAAACCTGAGTTTTTTTTACTGCCAAAAAAAAAAAAAACGACATTCATTTCACAACTATTTCTTGCCCCTCTGCTATGATCAAGTTACTGAGCAAGGCATGGCTCAGTGACTTAAATTTTGAAGTAGGAAACCCATCACATTTACATAGCTTCATTGCACATAGTCATCATCTTTTGAAAATTTTGTATACCAAGAAAAAATAACTATAATTAGGTCCTTTACCAACAGCTGGTTCACCAAGCAAGTAATGAAAGGTTAAGTTGTTTGGCAAGAGATGAAGAAAGACAGGACCCCTCTTCTAAGCAAAGAAGGGAGGCTGATGGTCTAATCTTTTGGAGCAGCATCTCAGTTGCTAATTGTTGAGTAGGAATGGGAATTTAATGTAGTTTTTTCACTCTATAAATCACTAGTTGACATAAACCAGAGGATGAACTGAAGATTATTTGAAAGCATTCAGTTTTCCCCTTTTAAATCCATCCCTGCTAGACTACAATTCCCAACACCACCCAACGCATACACACACATATTTTTTTTCTTTCCTCTGGATGTGACCATTCTGTGGGCTATTGAGAAAATGAAGGTGGTCTGTGACTTTCTTTCACTCTTGATTTATGCTGTATTCTAATCTATATAAATAGTTTAAAAACATTGTTCTTTCTTTTGCTATCAGTAGACTGGACTGAGGAACTAGGGAGATGTGATTTTGAGGCATTTATGTATCTGTTGTAAACTGGGTGGAAAGATTGAAAAACTATATAATCAGCTCTTCAGAAGTACCTGGTGGTCAAATGGATAGCCATCACCTGTCGTCAGTTTGAGTTTTACATTTTTCTTATCCCATTGCTCTTGCTTTCTAGTGTAGTTAAGAGGTGTTAAATTTTCCCTGAAACTTGAACTGTTTTGTGTATCATTTTCTTTTGTGAACACAAAAGTGTCCTATTGGTAAGTTTTCTGCTTTGCACAATGCTCACATCTAACTTGCTTCTCCTTTCCCAGAATTCCATTCGGCACAACCTTTCTCTCAACAAGTGTTTCCGGAAGGTGCCCAGACCTCGAGATGACCCTGGGAAGGTGAGACACTGCTGTAGGGAGGAGCAGGAAGGAGAGTGAAGTACTTGATGGCCCAGAGTCCTGTGGCTGTTTTAATTACCCAGAAGAGGAAATCATGTTAATTAGAGAAGCATCGTTATTTTTCCTCAAAGGAAGATTGGTTGTCAAGCTTATGGGCACCCACTACAGTAGGTGACTAAGGAAGATTATGACATTATGAAATCTGTTTTTTTTTTAAATAGAAATGTTTATGGTAAAGTTGACTTTGAGGTCCCCTTTCTTTTGTGTGACACTCTTTTCTAGAGCAATTTCTTTTTCTTTTGGTGGTGCTGGGGCTTGAACTTAGGGCTTTGTGCTTGCTAGGCAGGTGCTTTACCACTTGAGTTGATCCTCTAACCCGCTATGCACTCTTTCTTCTAGATGTGAAAGGTTGACTTAATAGCATTTATAACAACTTTTCTGTACTAAAATCTCTGGATTTTACCTTCATAAGGAAGGGTGGAACATTCTTACCATTCACAGATGTGGATGCTAAACTCAGGTCATAAGAGAAGGCAAGGGCTGTTTCTGGACATTTTCAGCTCTTTGAATTAAATACCACTGTTCTACCTCTTCAGAATAATTGAGGCCTGTGTTCGGACCACAGAAGTACCTCTGCATACTCAGTTAACTTTTAGGACAAATTTACTACTCAGTAAAACCCAGAATAGGATGATCCTGGGTTGGTTTTTTTTTTTTTTTTTTTTTTTTGGTTCTGGCAGTTGAACTCAGGGCCTTATATATGCTCAGCAAGTGCTCTACCACTAAGTTACACCTTCAGTCTAGCCCTGTTTCTTTTATGTTTGTTTTTGTTTTTTGGTACTGAGATTTGAACTCGGGGCTTCAGGCTGCTAGGCAGGTGCTCTACTACTTGAGCCATGTCTCCAGCCCTTTCTACCCTGGTTATTTCAGAGATTGCAATCCTCCTGTTTATGTTTGCTGCCACAGCTGGGATGACAGGCATATATCACTATGTCCAGTACTGGTTGAGATGGGGGGAGGGCTCATGAACTTTTTGCCTGGGCTGGCCGGGAACAATGATTTTTAATCCCAAGTGGCTAGGATTATAGACATGAGCTATTGGCTCCTAGCTACCAGCCCTGTTTCTTAACATGACTATTGTCCTATGTGAAAATTATGCAAATACCTGTTTCCAAAGGTGGGAACTTCTATAGGTAACGATTTTGTTCTCAGTAGGGATGGGTTTTTCTTCCAGGGCTCTTATTGGACAATTGACACCTGCCCTGACATTTCCCGAAAGAGAAGACACCCTCCCGATGATGATGTAAGTTCCCCCTTCATGGGCAGATGTCATTTCTGAGCCTGTTGCTCCTTCCATATCTTTCTGGGCTATTCGATCCTTTCCATGGTGAAGGTAGAACAGCAGCAGAGGGGAAACTGCAGGTCTTTAGAGGATATTTCACCTCTGCTTATAGATTGCTCTTCTGTCACAATCTCCAGCTATCCCAAGACTCACCAGAACAGGAGGCAAGCAAGAGTCCTCGGGGAGGTCTTCCAGGGAGTGGAGAAGCTTCGCTGCCTCCTGAGGGAAATCCTCAGATGACACTTCAGAGCCCCACATCGATGGCCAGCTATGGCCAGGTAAGAAGCAGAGGGCACAGGGGCCAGGGGAATGGTTGATTGGCTGGATGGTTCAGTGGGTTCAGACACTTTTCTGCTGAATGTCTGTGATATGTTAGGCAGATAGATAAGTTGGGGAAGAAGGGGAAAGCAGAAGAGAGAAACTCAGAGAGAAAGAGCAAGAAGGAAGGGGTGGGAGAAGGGAGGAGGGAGAGAGGAAAGGAATAAGGTATCAAGAAAATTCAGGAAAAAGTGGAGAGAAGAGGAGAGAGGGAGCCAAAAAAGCTATAGTAGGGAAAGAGGGCATGGTTGTAACATAGGGAAAGGGCACTTAAAGAAGAAATAGAGAATGATAGGAGAGAGACTAGATTCAAGCTACAACTGGTGAGAAAAGGAGAAGCTGAAGCTGTGTCATTGAGCAATTGGAAGAGGATGAAGAGGACAGGCAGGAGAGCTGAAGTGTTGTACTAGTCCTTTAGCTGGTACATGGGTCAAGACTTTCTTACCTGTTCTTACAGGGCACAGGTTCTGTGGATGGTGGAGCAGTGGCAGCTGGGGCTCCAGGCCGAGAAAGTGCTGACGGTCCCCCCCCACTCTATAGCACCAACCATGACTTCAAATTCTCCTACTCAGAGATCAACTTTCAGGATCTAAGCTGGTCCTTCCGCAACCTGTACAAATCCATGCTAGAGAAGTCCTCTTCCTCTTCACAGCATGGTGAGTCTGGAACTGGGATGGTTTGTGGACATCCTTATATTTTTGAATAAGTGGTGAAATTCTCTTCTCTCTCTCTTATTTCTAACTTTTAACACATGAAGATGTTGGTCAGAGGAAACATGGATTAAAACTGTTTGGAGTTGAACAGCTGTTTCAGGAGGCTAGCTGGGGTATTAGCTTCAGAAAATGACTTGGAGGATTGCCCCATCTAGCACCAACCGTAGTGATTTTATGGCCACAAGCAACTCATTTAGAGGATGACCACTAGGGGACAGCAGTAGTGCCTCTTTCCTCTTTGTGTGTGTGTGTGTGTGTGTGTGTGTGTGTGTGTGTGTGTGTGTGTGTGTGTGTGTGTGTGTGTGTGTGTGTGTGTGTGTGTGTGTGTGTGTGTGTGTGTGTGTGTGTGTGTGTGTGTATTGTGGTACCAGGGTTTGAACTCAGGGTCTACACCTTGAGCCACGTGACCAGCCCTTTTTTCTGATGGGTTTTTTGGAGATAGGGTCTCAGAACTATTTGCCTCAGCTGGCTTCTAACCACAATCCTCTGATCTCTGCCTCCTGAGTAGCTAGGATTACAGGTATGAGCAACTAGTGCCTGGCTCTTTCATGTATTTATATTTATGTTTGTATTGTGAAAAATTTCAAACAGATGCCAAAGTAGAGTGAACAGTACAATAAACCCCTGTTTCCATCACCCAACATTAACAGTTGGTAGTATTTTGTTAAGCTTGTTTTATTTACCACCAAGCTTCTTTTGAAGTTGGAGTAATCTAATGCAGTTCCCAGACAGGATGCCCTTCTACCAATAAATACAATTTCAATGAGCATCATTAGATGCTTTCCTTTAACCATCTACCATACCATTATCACTCCTCACACATTTAGTAATACTTTCTTAATATCAGCTAGTATCTGTTCATTTGCAAATTTCCCTAATTATGTGAGAATGACTGAAAGTCTTCGAAGGTCCCTCAAGAGACAGTCTGGTTCAGCCCTCTGCAGTTCCTATATTTGTTAAAAAGAAATTACAGAGGGTTGAGGGTAAGAGTTCAGTGAGGTATCAGAACTTCTTGTTCTGTGCACTGACCTTTGTAGGTAGAAAAGACTGAACATAATGGTAAAAACTGGGTAAAAGTCACTTTTGGAAAATACAATATATTAATTGTCATAACTTTTGTTTTTGAGATAGGGTCTCATTATGTAGTCCAGGCTAGCCTGGGACTCACTATCCTCTTGCTTCAACCTCCTGAGGTGTGTGCCACCACACCCAGATATTAATTTCTTCTTTTACATCCCAGGAAATCAACATCTCAAGTGTGTTCCAAGATAGTAGCATTTGCTTAAAAAATTAATCCAACTTAGGTGGTTGGTTGTTTGGAGATAGGGAACCTGAAAAGACTGTCAGAAATAAAGAAGTAAGATTGAGTGGAGTAAGGACAGCAGAATATTCACTCAAGCTTAATTGTGACTGATAGATCTCTCCTGATCAGTCTGTTTGAGAACTTAATCTGTCACTATTCCTTTTCTCATTAAACCTTTGTTTGTTGGTGGTGAATACAAGAGGCAGAAATAAGCCAGGCACCAGTGGCTCACACCTGTAATCCTAGCTACTTGGGGGGCTGAGATCAGGAAGATCACAGCTTGAGGCCAGCCTGGGCAAATAGTTTGCGAGACCCCCATCTCCAAAATAATTAAAGCAAAATGGATTGGAGGTATGTTTCAAGCCATTGAGCACCTGCTTTGCAAACATGAAGCCTTGAATTCAAACCCCAGTCCCACCAAAAGAAAAAAAAGGCAGAAATAGTAGTGGTATACAGAGACAATAAGGAAGAGAAAAGAATAAATTCCCAACAACTTTGTTTTATTTGTAATTTAATTTTAAAATTTCACCTGCTGTCTGATTTCTTTTCCTTCCTTCCTTCCTTTTTTCCTTCTTTCCTTCCCTCCTTCCTTCCTTCCTTTATTCCTTCCTTCTTTCTTTCCTTCTTTCCTTCCTTTCTTCCTTCCTTCCTTCCTTCCCCTCTTCCTCTCTCCCTTCCTCTTCCTCTCTCTCTCTGTTTCTCCTCCTCCTCCTCCCTTTCTTCTTTGTCTTCATCATACTGGGGATACTAACCAGTCCTTAGAAATGCTAGACAAGTGCTGTACCACTCAAACATACTCCCAGCCCCTAATTTGTGAAACTGTGATTCCAGGCCTATACCAAAATTCCCAAAAAGCAGCATAAAAGGTTCACACTGACCTTATCATTAAAATTTCAGTGGTCACCACAATGTCAAGGCCTTCCTCTAACCCAACTGCTTTCTGGTCTGTTATCTACCAGGAGGTTCGTGGGAATCCTTGCTGTCACAGAGCCCTCTTATCCTTTTAACTTTACAGTTTCATCTGAGGTCTCCTATCTTTCTACCCATAGAAAATTCCAGTTAGTGAAGTTGCATTGCCTGAGTCACTTGCCTGCTTCCTCCTCACCCTGCAGGCTTTTCGTCTCTCCTGGGCGACATGCCTCCCTCTAACAACTACTACATGTACCAGCAGCAGCAGCCACCTCCACCTCAGCAGCAGCAACAGCAGCAGCAACCACCACCACAGCCACAGCCACCTCCCCAACAATCACAGCCACAACAGCAGCAGGCATCAGCTCAGGGCCCCTCAACTGTAGCGGGTGCCCCTCCACTGCATACTCCAAGCCCTGATGGTTGTACCCCACAAGGAGGAAAGCAAGCTGGTGCTGAAGGCTATGGGCCCCCCACTGTGATGGCCATGCACCCCCCTCCACTGCAGCATGGAGGCTACCACCCTCATCAGCACCATCCCCATTCCCACCCTGCCCAGCAGCCACCACCACCACAGCAGCAGGCACAAGGCCAGGCCCCCATCAACAGCACTGGCTTTGGTGAGTAAGGAGGGTGCAGAAAAAGCCAACAAGAGGGTGAGTGAGCCCTTTCTTGTGACTGCTCTGGAGATGCAGTTGATTTTGTCATTATGAATGTATCTTTTAGCCTCAGTCCCAGAGAGCTCATCTGAATGAATGGAAGTTGCAACCTAGAGCTCAATGTTGTGGAAGATTTGGGGACTGAGGACCTCATTGTTTCTCCTCCATATCTGTGGATAAATGAGGATTGTTTTGTGTATTCTGCCTATGAGCTGGACTGTACCTAGAGCACAGGTAGCTTTACCAGTCCTAAGTCGCTAGGGAAGGAGAGTCCAAAACTGCCTTGTTAATGCAACTCATAGCCTGTGTATGTGCAGGAATCTTCTGTGTGGTCAGCCTCATGTCAGCTGACTGCTCTTTCACTTTATCTCACTTTCCTCTTCACAGCCTTTCCTCCGGACTGGTGCTCCAATATTGACTCCCTAAAGGAAAGCTTCAAGATGGTGAACCGGCTCAACTGGTCCAGCATTGAACAGTCGCAGTTCTCAGGTCAGTGTAAAGGGATGATGTCTGGAGGGAAGAGAAGGGTACGTTGTGAGTGGGAAAACTGCAAGAACCAGATGGGATAGTTCAGTGAAGTTTAGAGTTTAAGGATTTCATTGCTTCTTGATATTACACAAGATGGATAATATTAAGTATTTTCAACTTAACGCAAATTAATTTTTTGTCTTAATTCAAAAAATGGCAATGCTTTATTCTAGTCACTTTTGTCTTAGAAGAACGCTCTTGGGAACTTAGAAACTCTGGGCCATTGTTTTGTAGTTTTGTCAACACTTTATGACAGTGTCATCATAGCTAATTCATTTAGTTGCTTTAAAAGTTTGTATTCATCAATATGATGAAAATTTTAGTGAGAATTTAGCAAAGAACAAGTAGAATGGGAATTTGAAAAGGGAGAGTTCTAAAAGGTGTAAATTATTCTTGTTAATGCATGTTATCAGTGGTGTTGACTGATGATGTGGGTGGATGGTGAAATGGGGATGGCTTGGGTAGAGGCTTTGGTGCCTCTGCCAGGTTTAGCATTGCTTGCTTCCTTGTCTGTAGAACTGATGGAGAGTCTACGACAGGCAGAGCAGAAGAACTGGACCCTCGACCAGCATCACATCGCCAACCTGTGTGACTCCCTCAACCACTTCCTAACTCAGACGGGTCACATGCCCCCCCAGGGGGGCTCCCACCGGCCACCAGCCCCTGCTCGTATTGCTGACTCCTGTGCCCTCACCAGTGGAAAACAAGAGCCAGCCATGAACCAAGGTACTGCACAAAACCAGTCACCAAAGAGGTGGAGACTGTGATGGAAAGGAGGAGTGGGAGAAAGGCAATAGAGAAATGAGAGAAACCGTTTTTTGGGCATGGTTCTATATTTGTTATTCTCCTGTCTTTGATATTTCACAATCCCTAGTACCCATCCCTTTTTATCCTAAGAGGTGAGGACTGATAGGTTTTGCAGAAAGCCTTCCTGTCTGCAGGAGCTATAAAATAAGACAGGGAAAGGAGAAAGACATTGTTGGGGAGGAAGGGCACATTTTTTTTCCTTCCTGCCTTGTTGAGTACAACAATCCTCCACTCAAGTAACTCTTGTCTTGCTTTGGCAGTGAACTCTTATGGGCACCCCCAAGCCCCCCACCTCTACTCTGGCCCATCACCAATGTACCCAATTCCCACCCAGGACTCATCAGGATACAATCGCCCAGGTAAGAGAAGGGGAGTATATTTCAAGACCAGACAGCACCCCTTTCCCCTATCAGTTGTTTCACTTTCCTTTGGTTCCCAGCTTGCCCTTCCTCCTGCACCTGTTAGAAAGGCCTTAATTATACTGATTTCCCAGGCTAGAGGATGGGTGTGGGTTACCTGCTAGGGAGGTATATATCAGGAGATGGAAAAAGGCAGATTTAAGCTGGGTGTGGATGGCTCACACTTGTAATCCTACTACTTGGGAGGCCGAGATCAGGAGGATGGTGGTTCTAGGCCAGCCTAGGGAAATAGTTCAAGAGACCCCCATCCCCAAAATGACCAGCGCAAAATGATCTGGAAGTGTGACTCAAGTGGAGTGTCTGCTTTGCAAGTACAAAACCCTGAGTTCAAACCCCAGTCCACCAAAAAAAAAAAGGCAGATTTATTTAGCTAAATTAATTAATTTTGAGGTGCTCTACCACTGACTTACATCCCTAGCCCTAGATTTATTTTAAAATTAGCTTGTAACTGCAATAGTGATGGGAAGTAAAATTCTAAGTATAAGCAAAAGATAGATAGATACATGGGACATTCATGGAATCTAGATGGAAGATATTCTTACTTAAGCAAACAAAATGAATTTCTTATACAAACATACCGCTTTGTGCACACGTCCATTTTCCTGTCACCTGGTCACTAGTATCAAGGGTCTGAGATTGAACTCCTTTTTCTGTTGTTGTTTTGTTTTTGTTTTTTTGTGGCACTGAGGATTGTATTCAGGGCCTCATGTATGCTAGGCAAGCACTCTATCACTACGTTACATACCTAGCCTGGGATTGGATTAGACTATCTTTGATGGTGAGGGTAAGGGCAGGGAGAGACACTCAACTGCTATAGAAAGTAAAAATTGAACAGATCTTTCACATTTAGATACATTTTAGAAAAATTACTATTGTCATCCTATCCTAAGTGCTTTGATTTTTTGGGGTGATATCTGACTCTTTGTCCATGTTTATAAGTACAAATTTTGGTACAAAATTTACATTCTTTTATCATTATTAAATAGTCTTCAAAAGTATATATATTTTGGCAGTACTGGGGTTTGAACTCAGGGCTTCATGCTTGCGAGGCAAGTGCTCTCCCACTTGAGCCACACCTCCAGCCCTTTTTGCTCTGGTTATTTTGGAGATAGAGTGTATTTTGCACTGGTCAGTCTAGACCATGATCCTCCTATTGGAAGTTTCCTGCCATTGCTGAGATGACAGGTGCACTACCACACCCAGCTTTTTTCCATTGAGATAGGGTCTTGAAAACATTTTTCCTGGACTGGCCTGGAACCATGACTTCAGCCTCCTGCCTAGCTTGATATGACTGGCACATGCCACTGAATCCAGCCTTTGGTTGAGATCTTGAAATGCAATCCTCCCAATCTTAGCCTTCTAAGCAGCTAGGATTGCAGGCATGAGTCATCAGTGCCATGCCATAATTATAATTTTTTAATGGCAGGATAATGTTATATTGTTATGGAACCTAGTTTACTCTAATTTATTTTCTGAGACTCCACTGAAGTGGTGGCCTGCAACGAAAAGAACTCCAGGCTTCTGACAATACCGTCACAAGTCCTTCCTTATGGTATTGTTGGAGCTTAGTGTTCTCCATCCAGATTGGTGGAATAGCTTCTTATCCAGCCTCTTACTCTCTTTCTTTCTTCCTGACAGCACATCATATGGTCCCTCGGCCACCAGTCCCACCTCCAGGTGCCAACGAGGAGATTCCTGATGACTTCGACTGGGACTTGATCACTTAATACGTCATAGAGTATGGACATCAGCCCAGGGCCCGGTGGTGAAGTCTTGCCATGGGGAAAGCGCAGCCTGTCCCTCCTCCCGCCTGTATATAAACATATATCTTCTTTTTGTTCTTTCTCTGTCAGAGAAGCCACCTCAAGATGCTGCCGAAGATAATCCCATCTTCCTCGCCTCATTCTTCGCTCTCCCTTCCTGTTTTTCCCTAATTCTTTTATTATTATTCTAATTTTATTATTATTGTTATTATTATTGGTTATATACTGTCCCAAGTCTCCTGCCCTACAACATGGACTGTGTCTTCCCTTTGATAATTTAAAATCATCATGCTGGAAGATGAGGCCATTATAGCTGTAGAGAAGGGTTTCAAATTCTGTTTCACCTTTCTCTCTGAGAAACTCAATGTTGATCTCAGCTTTCAGCTCTAAATTGTTTTCTCTTCCCATCTGTTTCAGGCCAGGATTGAAGAGGCCATATTACCAAGTACAAGGGGTCTAAAACACTGCCTGGCAGCCATGAATTTGCAGGTTTTACTCAATGGTGCTAATTCTGTCTTCTGAACTCTCTTTGTCCCTTTATACTTCCAATTCTTACTTCTTCTGACAATCCTCATTCACCATTAAGGGTAAGGGTGTTGATGGTGGTGCAGGAGGGTGACAATAAAATCTTAGTGGAACTAGAAACCTGGATTGGGTTGAAGAGAACACTGTGGAGAAGTGATGGACTGTATAAATCAGTTTGAACTTGGGTGTGTGCTGCCTCTCACTTAAGCATCCATTGGCTTATTCCTAGCCCATTCTCTAGGGAAATTAGATTGGTCTTAGGTTGAACTTGCTTCTATGTTAGGGCATGAGGACCACTATTCAGCATAGGTTCAGCTTCTTGGAGATGATTTCAACTTAGCCATTTTGGATTTTAAAAAATAATTCTTTTTGAAAATTTACTGTGTCTCTTACTTGCATTTACAAATTATCCTCCATCACCTTTTCCCATTCAGCAAATATTACTTTGTCCTCTTCTAGTTGGCCCAAATCTTCTACTCATCTTATTTTCTTCCTCCATTTTTTCTGGGACTCTCAAGAAATAAAAAGCAAGCCATTATCACTCTGTGTTTCATCATGTGCTACACATGCTAGGGAATCTCTTTCCATCTGTCGTAGCGGAAAATCACAGCAGGAGGGTAAGGAGAAGAAAAAGAAGCTGGCACAGACATGGGTCGAGATTTTCATTTATTTAGCTATATAGGCAGATGCTTCTCTTAAAATCCAGATCATTAGGGCCAAACCTTTTGCAATTAGGTCTTTGACAGATGAAAGAAATTGGTGGAGGAGAGCAGATAATCTAGAGGCAAGAGTTGATTGAGGGCCAAGGAGTCGCCCAGATGAAAGTATAGGGATAACTTACCTCCTTTAACAAGGGATGGCTATGAGTATTGCTGCAAAGTTCTTAGCATATATTAAAAGTTAATTGTTGAATTTGAGTTGAGAGGGAAGAACAAGTTTACTTTCATTTTTATTTCACTAAATTTCCCCTTTCTAAAAGCAGCAGGACACAATGTAAGAGTAGACGAGGCCACTCTTTCTATGATTTCTGCTTTTTGATCATGTTTTATTTATCCACAATTTCCAAGATACTGGGCTTTCTACTCTCCTGCTTTTCCCCTCCATCTACCCCTTTCCTTTCTTTGGAAGGGGGGTTATATATGAGAGTTTATTGAAGAAATTCAGTGAGGCTGAAGAAAAGGGGCAAGATAGAGCAGTTAACTAAAGAGCACTTTATTTCTTTGAAACCTTTGTAAGAAAAAAAATGGAGGTATATGAAAGAAATGTGCCCTTCAATACAGTTTTCCACTGTGTTGGAGGATGCTTGGTGGGGTTGAAGTATGACATAATATTTCCCATTGGGGGAAGGAGCATTTCTTTTAGAGGGTGGCAAATCCCTTTGCCCAGTGTCCCTATGCTAGGCATCTCTTCCTTATTCCCTCTATTCAAGGTGCATCCTACTCACAACTTCCCTTCAGTTTTCCCCAAGATTTCTGTTTTACAGAATAACACTCCTCTTTTCTAAACTCCTTTCCAACTCTGATCCATATGGGTTTAGGAAGGGTAGGTTAAATCATACACATAAATGCCCCTTGTTCATTGTATCTTGAAAATTAGTCTCATTAAGAATCCTGAAATTTGGGGCCAGGGGCTGGAGATGGGCCACCAGGTCTCCTGAGATTCTAGCTCCCCTCTACCAAACTCAGCCTTGCTAAATGGCACAGGACAAATCTGACCCCCTTTGGGCCTCAGTTCCCCTCCCCTCCATGAAATGCAAAGAATACTACTTTTTCTTGTCGCTCCAGCTTTGCTGGGCATAAAAGTATAGTCGTTGTTGTCTTGGGTGATGTGTGCAAAGTTGCAGGAGCTCACTGCCTACAAGAGGAAATAAGGGAGAGAGCAGAGGAGAGGGACAAAGGAGCAATTATTTGGTATTGATCCACCAATCCCAAACTTCCTCTTCTCAACCCCCATGTTTCTGGTTTGGTGAGTCCTTCACACCACCCATAATGCTTTGCATTGGTGCAGGCTGGGAAAGGGGTGTATGGTCTCACAAGTTGTTGTTGTTGTTTTTTTGCATGCTTTCTTAATAAAAAAAAAAAATGTTTCCAGTTTTATCTTACGGTCTCCAATTTCTTTTAGCCAGGGTAGGAAAAGAGAAATACGAAAACATTTGACTTCTGCTGGCCTTTAACCCCTCTCCCACCTCCCACCACTGGCATTTTGTTTATAAATTGGTGGAAAAGAAGAATTAAAGACATGGCTTTAACCTTCTGTTTTCTAAATGCTATTAAATCTAGTTAAATCTTGTTGGAGAGTCAGTTACCACTTGCTGGTTGGTGGGTGGAGTAGGCCCACTTTGCTTGAATTCAGGATAAAAATTCAAGATACTACATTGAGAGGGAGAATTTGAGTCCTTGTATAGGGCTTCTCAGAGAAGAAATTGTACAAAATCGTTACTGATCAGAGTTTTAAATTCTGAAATGAGGGAATTCGAATTATATAGGAATTTCTTCAGAACAGAATTCCAAAGGTAAACAAAACTTTCAAAAGGAGTTCAATTATTTATTGTGCATTTACTCAACCTAAATCCTACACACTAACTCCAGGAGTTTGGAACTTGTACTCAGGGTCTTGTTGGGATATGTTGGGGTTTCTAGAAGTCTGGCTAATTCCTGTCATAGCAAGTCTACAGTCACTTACTGTGAGATTTTTTTTGCTGCATTCTTATAATTAATTCTTAATTATCTGATATATTCTTAGTATCATATAATTAAAAGGACCCATGAATCTCTGAGCCTTGTAAGGAGACAGGAGGAAAAAAGCATTTATTCAAATAAAATATACAAACAAATTAAAATGGAAAGGTAGCACTGCAAATTTTACATCATGTTAGTCACTATTACCTCACAACTGAAAGAATTCCAGAACTTTTCCACATAGTAGTTTATATCATTTGTTACCCAAATCATCACCTCATGACAAAACAAATAATAATGTCAATCAAGTTTAAAGTACATCTCATTTTCTATTTTTAGATTAAATCATATTCATTTTAGATGAGCCTGTGTTATATAAACAAGCCTGAAATTTTAGGTATTAATCACATAAAAGTATACCCAGAAAAAGGAGAAGGTGGTAGGAGTTGAATAATGTTTTAAAAACAAAGTCTTATTGTGACACTATACATAATAGCTAAGATATTTAAAAAAAATAGCTAAGATATGAAATCAGCCTAGGGGCCTATAGACAACTGAATGGGTAAGGATAATGTGGTAAAGCTGACATGTACAATGCAATATTCAGCCATAAAAATGAATAAAATCCTGTCATTTTCAGCAAAATGGATGGAACGGGACACTATATTAAGTGAAATAAGCCAGGTGCAGAAACACAGGTGCCACATGTTTTCTTTCATAGGTACAAGTTTAAGGAAGTCGATCTGAAAGTACATCAGTGATGTCTAGAGCTTGGGAAAGGGTGGGGGTGTGGTGGGAATGGGTGGAAAAGGGCAGTTGGGTTTGAGCAGTGCACACTGTATACCTGTTTGGAAATATGCAGAACTCCATTAATATGTACACTGTGTGTTAATAATTTTTTTAAATGAAGGATAGAAGGAAAGCTATATAGATTGTTAGAATGTATAGGCAAATCAGAAGAAAAACTTTGAACATATTAAAGTATGAGGATTATTAATGGATGTTGGGATGTTGGATAAGTAATTTTAAAAATAAGTGGATAAAAATCTTCATCTTTCGAAACAAGTCATTTAAACATTGTACTCCCACCCAGCACAACAAGAAAAAAGTCATTTTATTGTGATTATGAAAAACATCAGCATAAGCACAGGATTTAGGAAACCTAAAATTGTTGCAAGGGAAATGAGTGGGAGGTGGCAGTTATTCGGCATGTTATATTTCATTATAAACCTTGAATTCTTTTAAAATTGATAATACTTCCATTACGTCGACAATGATAAAAATTGATTTTAAATGTCCAAAAAAGATATACCAGGTAATTTTTGTCATGAAAGATACCTAGAGTCGTGTTTAAGTGAATTTTTGATGGCAGGGTTATTTTGCAGTGAATTAAAGAATTTCCATCCCCTATCCTTTTCCTCTCATTTGAAATGAATTTCTTAGAAAGTATTAACTTGGGGCAAGAGGAAGGAATTATGAAATTAGATGTTATTTGAGGCACAAAGTCTGATGTGGAAAAAGAATGAAAGGGAGGGGAGCCAGGCATGGTGATTCGTGCTTGTAATGCCAGCATTTGGGGGGCCCAGGCAAGGGGACTGAAAATTCAAGGACAGCCTGAAGTACGTAGTGAGACCCTGTCTCAAAAAAAAAAAAAATTGGATGACTCTATAGTCTGTATTACATGATAGGCACTTATTTAGTGGTAAACATGGAAACCTGAAATTCCCATGTCCTATTTCCAGGCATGTTCCCAGTTGCAGGCATCTGGCATTCTACTCTGCTCCAGTCTCAGTCTCCTACCTCCTTGTTTCTTTTTTACACCTTTTCATTTAAAACCATCACCCCCACAACAAAGCCACTGAATACAAGATCACTTTTCACTCAGGACAAGAAGAAATGGTCTTATATTGAGTCTGGAAGAGGCTTTAGATAATGCTAAAAAAAAAAATTAATGATGTAAGCATTTAAAAAGAGACTAGATTGTTGTTTAACTCATGTGGCTTAGTTAGGGATAGAAATGGATTAAATTTTATAATGATTCTCAAATTTACATTAATCAATAACAAGAAGGCCTGTTAAAACATTTAATGGAGCAGGGTGCAGTGGTTCACATCTGTAATCCTACCAGTCAGGAGCCAGAGATCAGGAGCCTCATGGTTTGAGGCCAGCCCAGGCAAAAAGTTCACAAGACCCCATCTCAAAAAATAAAAAGCTGGGCATGGTGGCTCGTGCATCCTAGCTATGCTAGAAGCTAGGAGGATCATAGTCTAGGCCAGCCCAGGTATAAACGTGACACCCTATCTCAAAAATCACCAAAGCAAAAAGGGCTAAGGGTATAGCTCAAGTGGTAGAGTACCTGCCTAACAAGTGCGAGGCCCAGAGCTCAATTGCCAGTAAGGTCCCAAACAAGAACAAAACAACAAAAACAAAATACTTAATGGGCCCCACTGCCCAGAGACTCTGATTCAGCAAATCAACCTTGAGAATTTGCATGTCTAATACCTTTCCAGGAGATACTGTGACCACACTTTGAGAGCACCTGGTTAACTGGTTAATGGTTTCTGAAGCCTCCTGCTCACTGTATTCTTTTTACAAATATTCACCTAAGAACATCTGCTTAGGTTGACTACTCTATTGTCACACACCTGTGCTGATGCTCTTTCTTTCTGAAAAGACTTTGTTTTGGGTACAGCTGGTAGAGTGCGTGAGCTCCTCACTGAAGGCTGCCTCCAGAATGCCCTTCATGGACTGCCTTGCTTTCTTCCTAAAATCTTTCCCCAAGAGGGCATAAAGGAAGGGGTTGAAGCAACTATTGGCCGATGCTAGAGCAATAGACACATGGTCCCAGGACAGCAGAACTTCCCCAAAGGGAGTTTCTGGGTGGATATACAATAATAGGACTCCAATAATATGGTATGGAGTCCAGCAGACAAGAAAGACCATCACCACCACCACAGCCACTCGAAACGTTTTGCTTCGAGACTTGATGAAGTTGCCTCGTCGCAGGCGACATACAATGAGGCTGTAACAGGCCACCATGATCATAAAAGGCAGGAGGAACCCCAGAACTAGCCTCGTGATGGTTATGGCCACCAGAGGTGTTGACACTTGGTTGTCATACATGAATTGGTCTAAGTAATCATCCTGGAAATCATGTGATAGCTCAGGCACATAGAAGAAATTGCTAGGAGCACTAGGGGAAAGCTCTGAATTAGAAGAGAGAAAGTTATCAGAGTTACCCAGTGTGTTAGTTCTGTGATCTTCAAGGGGAAACTGACTGGGGACTGTGGGTGAGACCACCTGGGCAGGTTTAAGTACATTGTAATATGGAGGTTGAGTAGATAATCTTGCTGGATCCATAGGGAATGAATTTCCAGGCAGCCTTTGAAGTGTTTCAGAATGAAAGACAGTGGTGGCAGTCCAAGGATGATCATTTGTTTGGAAAGAGGAAGGATCTGATTTATCATCCACTTCTCCAGGCAGCTGAACAATGGTGTTGTCAAGAGACCCATTTTTCAGTAGATCTAGATCATAGCTGTAGCTTGAATAATCTAATGAGCTGGAGAGACCAAAATTATAGCCACACATATTATGGCCATCTATAGTGAACGTTTCCCGGTATACAAATACAGGTATACACATGACAAAAGCCACTACCCAAATACATCCACAGATAGCAAAGGCTGTGCTCACATTGCGATGATTCTGGCACCAGATTGGCTTCAGTACCAATAAACAGCGATCCAGGCTAATGACAGTAAGCAGGAAGACACTGGCAAACATGTTAAGGACGATGATGGAGGGAATAAGCTTGCATAAGAACCAGCCATAGGGCCAGTGTCCCTGGAGAGCCAAGTGAGCCAGGGAGAAGGGCAAAGAAAGGCAACAGAGAAAATCAGCCAGGGTGAGATGGAGAAACCAAACTGTGTTCACTGTCCGCTGCATCTTTAGGCCAGTCACCCACAATACCAGCCCATTGCCTGGCAGTCCCAATAAAAAAGTGAGACTGAGAATGACCATAGAGAAAATTATGTGGGGTTTGTTCCAAGGCTGTGAATGTAGGTCAGTTGAATTGGTCTCAGCAGAGAAGGACTCCATTGCTAAACTTCTGTAAAAAAGATGAAAGAAAAATTTACAATTAGCAGTATCTTTGTAAAAACCTGCATAACTGTGTGGCAACCTAAAGTCAGAGGCCCTCATGGTGTTTTAGTTTGTATTTCTTCACTTCTTACTAGACCACGTGAAAACATCCTCTGATAGAAAATTTAAAATCTATTCATTCAAATATGTAACAAAACATTAGCTTCCATATCAGTATAAACTTCCCTTCTTTCTCGCACTTTCAACCTCTCATTTTCCACTGGCTCCTTTCCTCATTCAATGTTGCCTATTAAAAGTAAGCCAATAAGATAAATGACTAAAAACAAAAGGACTTCCAGACTAACAGTCCCAAATCTGACTGAGGTCACACCTAAAATGGTGTGAAGAAGACGCTCATTCCTTTCAGCAGACTTTTGAAAGCCTCCTTCTACAGAAAGAAGGAGTCTCAACTCAGTTATGCCCCTTAAGCTGCAACTCCACTTCTTCCATTCATTACTAGATTTCTCAAGATATTGACCTTCTTTGCATTTACTTCTGTTCCTCATCATTTCTTACTTATTTGTGGTTTCTGAGTATAACTTGGGAAAGATAGCTTTATTATTACAAAATCAGAAAATGTGCATTGAGAACTGGCAAATCAGACAAGTCAATATAAAAAAATGAAAATGTCATATCCACCAGTCAGTGATGACTACCTTCATATCTTAATTTATATCCTCTTTCTATCCATCCTTTTGCATGTTTATGTGTATATTTAAAATTTTAAATTGTGGTAAAATACACATAACAAAATTCACCATCTTAAGCATTTTTTGAGCAACTTTTTTGTGGTACTATGGTTTTGAACTCAGGGCTTCACATTTTCTAGGCAGGCCCTCTATCACTTGAGTCGCTCCACCAGCCCTCCACTGTTTTTAGGTGTACATTTCATCAGTGTTTGCCATATTGCATTATTGCACAACCAATTTCGAGAACTCTTTCCCTTCTAAAACCGAAACTGCTCATGAAATAATTCTTAATGTCTTCCTCGTGTGTGGTAAGGGAGGGGGTGGGGGCAAGGGGGAGAAATGACCCAAGCCTTGTATGCACATATGAATAATAACACAATAAAAAAAAAAAGAAAAAAAATGTCGTCCTCTCCCCAGTTTCTGTCAACCACCATCCTGCTATCTGTTTCTATGAACTTGACTCCTGTACATTTTTCATGTAAGTGAAATCATGCAGTCTTTTTCTTTTCCTATCTGCCTTTTTTTTCACTTAGCGTATCCTCTATGATGTGTATAGTGTCCAAATTTTCTTCCTTTGTTTTCTTAACTACAAAAAGGCAACTTTTAATTGTAATTGATTGAACTGCATCTAGGAATGTCTGAACAACTGAACAAAAGAAACAATCTAATTCTGTTGAAGAAACCAAGAGTTCTCACTCTTGTTGGCCCCAGTACTCATGAGGGTCAAGCCAAGAGCAGCTAGTTTCTGGGGCCAACCATGTTCCTTTCCCCTCAATTTTCTTCTTTTTTTAAGGCCAGTATCCAGTGTGTGTGTGTGTGTGTGTGTGTGTGTGTGTGTATATATATATATACACACATATACAGAGATGTAATATATATATATACGTATATAGTAACCATTTTATGTATAAGTATATATTACATTACATATATATGTATATTACATTTTGGTTATCCAATCACCCATTAATGGATATTTAGATTCCACCTTTGGGATATTGTGAATAATGCAGTTATGAACATAAATGCAAATGCATATTCTAAACTCCTTTCTGTTTTCAGTTAGCAGTCTCCACATTACACAGTGAGAATGTACCTTAAGGAATACCCAGTCTTACCTACTTTATTTTCCAACTGTCCCCCAAAAACCCCTTTATAGCTGGTTTTTCCACAGTGATACTCAGTCTAGGATCATAGTTTGTATCAGGGCATTCATGTCTCTCAAGTGTCTTGATTTGACATAGTTTCTCTTTTCAAGGATGTTGGCTTATTTAGGAGACTAGTGTTCTGACCACTCACTTCTTAACCCTTTGTAATTTGTCTTCTGCTCCCCTTACTCTGCTTTAATTACTTCTAGAAATCAAATCCAAACCTCTTCTGTTTTCATCCTCCACAATATAAGACATGTCATTTGACACACCTAGTCCTTAAGTCTGTTCTCTTGGCCTCTGTGACATTATCTTCCCCTTATTCTGAACAATCCCATAAATGTAACCTATTTTCCTGAGTGACCTATTCTTCCTTCTTAATGCCATTTTATTGCTTAGCTAATGCTGTTTACTTCTGTTTGGAATTATACCCTTCATGTCAGCATCTTCTTTCTTCAATGCTTATTTTCTACCTGTTGAAATCCTGATTACTCTTCAAGGTTAAGCTCAAATATTATGTCTTCCTTGAAAGATTCTCTTATAATCCCATATAGAAATTAATTGTTTGGTCTCTTAACTGTGTATGTGTTTGGATCTTTTAAAAAATATTTTATATGCATTGGAATACTTTGTTTTGTATTATAATTCTTATTGCATCTGTCTTATCTCTCATTCTGGCCCTAAATTTTGTAATGATAAAGATGAGTCTTATTTATAAATGCTGTTCCACAGAATTTGGCACAGTACCCTATATGACATAAAAGCTAAAGATTACTTAATGGATGGATGTTCACTTTTGGGGTTGACTTTATTCATTTTCAATTAAATGAAAATTCTAACTCTTATCCATTTAATACTTACTAGGGCTGCTTCCTTAATTCCTATGCTGTCTCTTCTAACTTCCTTTTAGTTTTTAAGTTCCTGGTTCTCAATAGATATAGTAACACCTTACATTTCTTTTTATAGAGACCCAAGTGTTTCAAAGTAGTTCTGCTGAGTTAAACAAATGTTACCACAGGGCTTTATATGATTAGCAGAAGTTAAAATATCGAGTCAACAAAATCAAAAAGAAGAAATGACTTCCATTCCTCTTTTTTGTGCCCTTTTCTATCCAAATACTCAAATCTTACCAGGGTCCTTTCCTTCCCTGTGGTAAATGTACCTGATTTCTTCTGTTATTCCAGCAGTCATGCATATGGTCTATAGAATATTGAGAGAAGAACAGAGTTACATATTGCTAGATTGGACAAAAGCTTAACAATCATCTCTCCTGTCTATTTTAATTTTGTGGTTTTCAATATGGAAAGTCAGTAAATTAGGTGACTTTCACATAATCACAAGTAGGGAGGTTTTCAGAAGCGAGGTGCAATGACTGTTAAGCAATACTTTACTGCAAAGCATCACAGAACTGAAAAACCTATGGCATTGCTAATCAAGTGGACTGCACAAATAGAAATTGTAAGAGCTGAGAAAGCAAGATGCCAACATAAGAGAAAGTGAATTATCTGTCATGAGCTATCACATATTCTCTGTCTTGAAATGAAAGTATATGCAAGTCAGGACTTGGAAGTCTTTCAGAACAAGATAATTTTTGTACATTTCTCCAGGTTTTGGATGAACAGTTTCTCTACACTTAAAATTAGTAGATTATATCCATTTAGATCTCAATACAGATTATTGACCAGCAGTAATTAAAAAGACAAAATCCTGAAACTAAAATTCATCTATGATAAAGAAAGAAAAGTAGATCCCAGAATCAGATAGTAATGGTAGGATGACAGAGCCAGTGGCAATAAGGAATGGGCCCAAGAACGGAAGGAAAAGAGGGAAATAAAATGAGAATTTATGTGTGTGTATGCAATCAATGATTTGTAAAAACAAAATTAATGGGGAAATCTACAAAGATTAGAAGGAAAAGCATAGCCACTTTAAGAGGGGATAAATGACATAAAAATTCACTATGACTTCTAGGGTAAATATATTAAAAGCAAAGACAAATAGAATGCGGAATATTTAGAAAAAGAAAGGTGGACATGGGGATAAGAGAAGAGAAATAAAAGTTGGAGAAGGACTAGAGTGAAGTAGGAGATACCAACCTTGATACCTTTATCTATAATGAGCAAAGCTGGCTAGGCACAGTCATCAGGTCCATTTAGATTTTCTTACCAAAAACTCGAGACAGTAACTATAGGCTTCAACACCAGTCCACAGGTCCCCACAAGTCTAGTTTGGTCCCTACACGTAGCCACAATGAAGTCATGTAGTTTGTTTGGGCTACTTGCTGAGTGATCACTCTTTCCTTGCTCTCTGTTTCCGATGGTAAAGTGAACCTCATGATCTACACCACTATCTGACTCCACAGGAAGTTTCTGAGTGAGTCATCTCTAAATGGCTTAGATAAGGAAAGCAGAAGAACAGAAACTGAGAGGTTGAACTCACATATTTTCTTCATGATTAGGGAGAGAGTACTTCTATACATAAGATATCCACTTCATGAGTTTTGCTTTTGTTTTGTCTTAGAAAAAAAATTGACTCTATGAGATGGGAGAATAGGGATAAGGAGAGGTTGGGAGGAATGACCTATACAAACCCATTTAATTAATCTTAGATAACACCTCTTTAATATTTGATATGTGCAAAAAAACTGTGTGTGGTGTCAAAATCAGGATGAATTAAACTATATTCAAGTCCTCACAGATTCACAATCAAGTGGGAATATGCATCCAGGCACACATGTGTAATACAACCCACATTTGGTATAATAGTAGAACTAATAATGGAAGGAAAATAGCAGAATATAATAGCTAGGAATATGTTTAGCTGGGGGCAATAGAGAAAGTCCTAAGGTAAGGGTGAGATGTGAGCAAGTCCTTAACTAGTTATAGGACTTGCAGAGGCAGAAAAAGGTGAAAAGTTACTACAGTATAAGTAGTCTAGCTGAAAGCAGGTAATGGGAGGGTGCTGCAGGCACCAGTGTCGGCGGGCATCTAGCGCCATTCCAGCAGAAATGGTAGTGAAGACATGGTTATTCCTGCTCAAAGCATACATCTTGAAGAATTTTCATTTAGATCATTCTTTCACATATATGCATATGAAACAAAGTTTATTTCCATCCACTCTAGAGAAACACTGTTGTCTGTGTGGTAAAGACTTCAGTCCATATTGATCAACTTGTCCAGACAGTAACATCAGTTTTTCCTCTTGTTTGCAGTCAAGTAATCCATCATGGAATACTTCTGAGACAGAAAGATTAAAGAAAAATGCCAAGAGTTGGGTAGTATTTATGAAGTTATTGCCATTATTATTAGCTAATTAAAATAGTATAAACTTATAAAAATATAAACTGAAACAATACAGCAGTACAAAGACTAAAAAAATGCAAGTTTGAACTTCCTATTCCACTGACAGAGGTAACCTGAATTTTTTCTAAATACAGCACACATTTTGAAAAGTTGGGGATGTGGCTCAAGTATTACAGCATTTGTCTAGCAAGCACTAGGCTCTGAGTTCCAACCACCAGTCCAGTGCCACTGAAAAAATGTAGTTTTGAATGAAAATGGGAATACAATTTGTGTGTGCTTTCGTGACTTGTTTTTTCATGTAACACTGTATCAGAACATACTTCTGTGTTGATGCATATAGTTCAATCACTTTTTGTTTTCTTTCCTTCCAATATTTGGAAGCATTGAATAGTGAAGGCATTAGGAAACATACAAAAGATAGACAGTATTACCACATGTGTGTATTCACATACATACATATATTCATATAAATTAACATATATTATAGAAATAACCAATTCTTATGGACAAATACTAAACACAGAAACATTAAAGACTAAATTTTCCTGAACATCACGTTATCTTTGTTTTACTCCCTGGAAATAACTTCTTTTATAAATACAAATGTAATCCCATTACACACACACACACACACACACACACACACACACATTTTTGGTGGTTGTGGGGTTTGCACTCAGAGCCTTGCGTTTTTTAAGCAAGTATGCTGCTACTTGAGCCATGCCTTTTTGCTTTAGGTTGCTTTAGTTTATTTTTTTAGACAGTATTTCACTTTTTACTTTGGATTATGTTTTAAGATAGTATCTCACTTTTTATCCAGGGTATCTGGGATCACCATCTTCCTACCTATGCCTCCTGAGTAGCTAGAATTACAGTTATGCACTGTCACACTCAGCTTATTGATTGAGATGGGTGTGGGGAGGAGGTTCTCACTAACTTTTTGCCCTGGTTGATCTCAAATCACAACCCTCCTGATCTCCTGTAGAGTAGTTGAGATTACAGGTGTGAGCCACCACCCAGCACCTATTTTTTATTAAATTCAGTTTCTTCCACTTACCTTTTCATGTCAGGACATATCAGTATAAATCTTACTCTAAGCTTGCTACATATTTTATTTCATTTAATCAATTATTCACTTATTGATTAATATTCAGTTTTTAAAAAAATTTTTTTTGGCGGTACTGGCATTTGAATTTAGAGCCTCAGAATAGAGCCAATTTTAAACCGGTACAATGTTCAAAGAGCATTCTTGCATTTAAGGCCTCTCTCAATATTTCTGTGGAATAGATCCTTAGAATTGGAGTTGCTAAATTGTAAGCATGCTTATTTAAATTTTCTAAAGCTATGAAAGTTTCCACTACAGAGATGTCATTCATTCTCACCCCCACCAAAAGAGATGATAGTATATCTACTCCACTTGCAAAAGATGATGACTTTAGCACTGAGTTCAATATCATGAACATGTATTCTGGTCCTAGTGTAGACACACTCATCTGTGCTGTAAGGGAATGCAGAAGTACTGCAAGATCACTTAACACCAGATGGTAGGGGCTGCTAGGGGTGCATCCAATACTTTGGGAGTATATAAGTGGAGAAGACTAATCCTCACTGAAGCAAACAGAAAGTCGACGCCTTGAAGAGGTAGCACTGGAGATGGGCTTTAAGGATGGGCAGAAGTTTGACTGACACTAGTAGTGCTGTGAAGTAATAATTTATCTATCTCTGCCCTATGAGACCGTGAGTTTGCTTGCGCCTTCAGTGCCTGCTATTGTGCCTAGTATGTTTGTCAGCAAAACATGAATGAATGTTTGCTTGAAAAGGATGTTGACTTCAGAATATAATTCAAAAGAGTTAATATGAGTCTTTAAAGTTGGTTTTCATATAGAGTCAGTTTTAGAGATTTCTGTTTCTTTAAAGATTATTGTTTTTATTTTTGTTGTTATTTTTGGTTTTTTGAAAGAGGGTCTCACTGCATAGCCCAGCTGGCCTTGAACTTGGCAATCTTCCTGCTTCCACCTACAGACTGTTGAGATTACAGCGGTGCACTACCACACCAGGTTGATTTCTAGCTCTCTAAAGGTTATATAGCAATTTAAACTGGTTTAGGAACTCTTAACTGTTATTTCCTGGATTTTCAGGAAATTATTATTATTATCATACTTATTATTTTTGAGAGTGGGCCTTTTATGTTGGCCAGGCTGGCCTGGAAATTTGAGATCCTTTTGCCAAAGCCTTGAGTAATTAAAATTATAAGCACATGCTACCATTCCCTGCTTAGGAAATTAATATTATTTACTTGTTCACTTATGGTTTGAGATTTGAACTCAGGGCCTTGCATGCTCTAGGTAGGTGCTGTTAACACATGAGCCATGCTCCCAGTCCTTTTTGCTTTAGGTATGTTTCAAATAGTGTCTTGCATTTAAGCTCAGGCCAGCTTGGACCTCAATCCTCCTGTTTAAGCTTCCCGTGTAGCTGAGATGACAGGCACACACCACACACCCAGCTTTTTGCTGGGGTCTTGTGACCTTTGTGCCTGGGGCTGGCCTCCACTGGTCATTCTTCCTCTCAATCTCTGCTTCCTGAGAAGCTAGGATTGTGGGCATGCACCACCTTACCTGGCTCGATTATTTTTAATTTACCGTGCTAGGGATGGAAACTGGGGCCTCACCTGTGCTAGACAAATGCTTTACCACTGAGCTGCGTCCCATGCCCCAGGAAGCAAATTATTGAGAGCACCTTGTGAATAATGTTTCTGCTTTTTAGTTGACTTCTCTCTTCTTATAAAGTACAAGTTGTTTGTAGTAAAATGTGGATAACTCTGGGGAATTTATGTGGTACACTTCTGTTTTGTTCTGTTTTGAATATCTAAATATAAATTTCTAAGCAAAGATCAAATGATATGAAAAGAATGAAAATTTGAGTATATATTTTATAGACAGCCACATTAAAACCTTTTGAGTCACTGATTAGTTCTACATTGTCAGTGATAGAGATGTGTATTTAAAAAGAGATTCATTTGGCCAAAATAAAAAAAGTTTTAGAATCACAGAGTCTTTAGCAGATTTTGCCTGAGAGAATTAAAAATAAATATGTGACAGTTACTCTATGATATCATATCAAGTAATCTATACTCTAAATTAAATATAACTAAGTGCAAATGCTAAATGATGCAAAGCTGTGATTGATCAGCAAAAGGGCAAAACAAAGACAATTAAGATTACCTGGACAAATCTCATGGAAGAAAAGGTTTTTTTTTGGCGGTACTGGGGTTTGAACTCAGGGCTTTACACTTGCTAGGCAGGCACTCTATGGCTTGCGGCGTGCCTCCAAGAAAAGATTTTTGAGGTGAAAAGAGCACTTGACTAGAAATGTAGAGAAACGGATTTGATTTCCAGTTGTAGTAACAGGTACTGGACCTTGGGTTAGATGTGTGACCCAGAAATTTTTTTTAGGTATAAAATTAAAGGGTGCACTTGGATGATCTTTAAGTTTTTTTGTATATGTTTTTATATATAGCAATCTAGAATTCTCTCATTTGAGAGAAAAAGACAATGAGAGGCATTTAAAATAAAGAACACAAACACTTATTAAGGTGGAGGTGAGCCTGACATACGTGAATGGCACAAGTAAAGTGCTTAGGCTGGAGTGACAAAGCACATTCTAAGGACCAATGGAAGGTAGCAGGAAGCCTATTCTCTTTTTTTTTGGCAGTACTGGTATTTGAACTCAGGGCTCACACTTGCTAGGCAGGTGCTATACCACTTGAACCATTCTTCCAGCCCCAAAGCCTGGGTTTGAATTCCAGCTCTGCCACTTACTAATTGTGGGGCTGTGTTGAAGTTATTAACTCCATGCTTTCATTTAAAGTAGGAAATGTGTCAGGTACCATCTGTTGAGGCTCAAGCCCATGCCCATCCTTCCATGCCATCACTTTACTGGAAACCTGAGTGCT